CCCATCACGCTGACCTCTGATCCATGGTCACGACCTCTGAACCATCATGATGACCACTGAACCATTGTTCCAAACTCTGACCCATCGTGCCAAACTCTGACCCACCGTGTCAAACTCTGAACCACTGTGCTGACCTCTGACCCCTCATGCTGACCACAGACCCATCGTTCCGAACTTTGACTAATTGTTCTGGCCTTTGACCCATCATTCTGACCATTGACCCACTGTTCCAAACTCTGAACCATAGTGCTGACCACTGACCCATCGTGCTGACCACTGACCCATCGTGCTGACCACTGACCAATTGTTCTGACCTCTGAACCACCATTTTGACCACTCGTGCTGCTGAAATGGACAGAGGGAAACTTTTGGGTGATGTTTTTTTTTGACGTCCTGAAGTTTTGACCGACAGAGACACTTAGAGGCACTTTAAAACCCTGATGACATTTCTGTGTTTGTTTACATGCAGAGATCTCTGACCTCCTGGACCAGCACACATCTCTGACTTATAACAGCCGAAACCTTCTCTCCTCTTCGGTCCATTTCTGTTGTTTCATCAGGAGGAAGCTTTTAGCTCCTGTGCCTTGCTGGGACTCAGAGCTGTCAGCTCGTCGGTTCGGATCAGGAAGAAGATTCTGTCTGATGGGCCGAGCAATCTGACCCGCTCTCAGCCCATAATGACTTAATAGGCTTTTTTCTCTTCAAACGGATAAATAAGCCGAATAAAATGTCAAAGTGCAAACACTTGAAACAACAGAGCTGAGTGAAGTGGTGAAACTTTGAAAAGTTCTTGTGTTTTAGTTAAAGGTCAGTGTTTATTTAAGTACAAATCCAGCTAAACTTCAGTTATTTTATTTTTAAAGAGCTGCAGAAAACTTTTTATTCATTTAAATGTAATATAAGCATGTTTTAAATCCATGAAATGATCTTGTATTTATTAAATATAAGTTATTTGTCACAAATTAACAATAAATTACAGTTTTTTCACTTCTGGGGGAGAAAAGATGGTTTATAATTCTGTTGATTTAAAGCAACACAAAAGAAACTGATGTGATCAAAAGTTATTAAAAAGTTATTATTTTTCAGCTTCTTAGAAGAATAAACTAATTACAATTAAAATGTTCTGGTGTTGGTCCGTCTTCAAAGTAAACAACAAACAAACAAAAACCAATTTCATAAAATTGAACGTTGACAGATTTCTCTGTTCATTGACTAAAACATAAAAACATTTTGTCCTGAAGACTGCAGCAGGTTCAAAAACAAAAACAGAACAAAATCAGAAAACAGGACACGGAAATGCAATTTAGCTAATTTTAGCTACTGTTTTGCTCATTTATCTACAAGTTTGTTCATTTTAGTTAGTTTAGCTTGTTTTAGCTGCTGTTTTTCTTATTTTAGCTGTGCTTGTGCTAATTTTAGCTCCTGCTTTGCTGATATTAGCACTTTTGCTCATATAAACTACACTTTTTACTCATTTTAGTTGCACCTTTGCTCATTTTAATTGGTTTTGCTTAGTTTAGCTCCTGTTGTACTGATAATAGCTACACTTTCATTCATTTTAGCTCCTGTTTTGCTGATTTTAGGGGCACTTTTGCTCACATAAACTACATTTGAGCTCATTTGAGCATCTGTTCAGGTAATTTTAGCTCCTGCTCCAACAGCCTGTTTTTGCTCTAGAACCCTGTTTCTTCTCCTGCAGATGGAGACCAGGAAGCGCCTGGCTAAGATCGTTCTGGTCTTCGTGGGTCTCTTCGCCCTGTGCTGGTTCCCGAACCACGTGCTCTACATGTACCGGTCCTTCCACTACCACCAGATGGATGTGTCTGTGGCCCACCTGGTCATCACCCTGCTGGCCCGAGTCCTCAGCTTCTCCTCCTCCTGCGTCAACCCGTTCGCCCTCTACCTGCTCAGCGAGAGTTTCCGCCGACACTTCAACAGGTACGAGTTACCTTATCCACTGCTAAACATGTTACGCAGCTGAAGGGGCGGGGCCACGCACAGCTGAGGGGGTGGGGTCAGAAACCAGATCTAACATTTACTCCTGAGATCAGAAACCAAACAAAATCTGCAGCTCGTCAACTCTAAACACTTCAGAAAATCAATTAAAATCTAAAAATCTTTTGGAAGAAAGATTTTAGATTTGACGTTTCCCTGTGCACAGGTGGGTTTTCTCCAGGTGTTATGGCTCCTCCCACAGACTAAAAACATCCTGTTGGGCTCTTTAGTGCCTCTGATTTGACCCTGATGGTGAGCGTTGTTTGTTTTACTGTGTCCCTGTGGTGGACTGAGACCTGTCCAGGTGTCTCTGTGTGTCTCTGTGATGGACTGAGACTAATGTAATTCTCAGAGGTTTCCTGGTTGGTTTTTCTTCAGGTAGAACATTTCTCTTAGTTTTTATTCTGACTTGCTGCAGTAAAATCCAGACCTGAGCAGAGTTCCTGCAGCTCGGAGCTGTCGGGGTTCAGCCGGTCTGCAGAGCTCGGAGCAGATTTACGAGACGAGTCCTTCATTTTCTCTCTGAATGGATCCCATCAGTTCAGAAATGGAGCAATCAGGAGCTCGTCGTTTTCTAAAGCTCTGTGGGAGCGTTCCCGCTCTTCAGACATCCTGCAGGTTATTATTCCGTTATTTGCTCAGAACTCCGACCCAACCCGGCTAAAACCTGAGGCAGAACAACACAGAGACCCGGGAACAGGTTCTGGGTCTAAATTTGGGTCAGATGTAGAAACATTAACCCAGTTCAGCTCCTTCTTCATGGTGTGAAAAAAAAACAAAACAACCTTATTAACAGGACGCAGCATCACAGGAGGAGAAAGAAAGAAACATGTTAGTTTAGTTGAAGCAGATGTTTACAGATGTTACAGATATCTAAAGGTGTTTACAGATGTTTACAGGTGTTACAGATATCTAAAGGTGTTTACAGATGTTTACAGGTGTTACAGATACCTAAAGGTGTTTACAGGTGTTACAGATATCTAAAGGTGTTTACAGATGTTTACAGGTGTTGCAGATATCTAAACGTGTTTACAGGTGTTTACAGGTCTTTCAGATATCTAAAAGTGTTTACAGGTGTTTACAGATGTTATAGATATCTAAAGGTGTTTACAGATGTTTACAGTTGTTACAGATATCTAAAAGTGTTTACAGATGTTTACAGGTGTTACAGATATCTAAAAGTGTTTACAGGTGTTTACAGGTCTTTCAGATATCTAAAAGTGTTTACAGGTGTTTACAGATGTTACAGATATCTAAAGGTGTTTACAGGTGTTTACAGATGTTACAGATATCTAAAGGTGTTTACAGGTCTTTCAGATGTCTAAAGGTGTTTACAGGTGTTTACAGATGTTACAGATATCTAAAGGTGTTTACAGGTGTTACAGATATCTAAAGGTGTTTACAGATGTTTACAGGTGTTACAGATAACTAAAGGTGTTTACAGGTGTTTACAGGTCTTTCAGACATCTAAAGGTGTTTACAGGTGTTACAGATATCCAACGATGTTTACAGGTGTTGCAGATATCTAAACGTGTTTACAGGTGTTTACAGGTCTTTCAGATATCTAAAAGTGTTTACAGGTGTTACAGATATCCAACGATGTTTACAGGTGTTGCAGATATCTAAACGTAATTACAGGTGTTTACAGTTGTTACAGATATCTAAAGTTGTTTACAGATGTTACAGATATCTAAAGTTGTTTACAGATGTTGCAGATATCTAAAGTTGTTTACAGATGTTACAGATGTTACAGATATCTAAAGTTGTTTACAGATGTTACAGATATCTAAAGTTGTTTACAGATGTTGCAGATATCTAAAGTTGTTTACAGGTGTTACAGATGTTACAGTTGTTTCAGATATCAAAAGTTGTTTACAGGTGTTACAGATATCTAAAGTTGTTCACAGGTGTTTCAGGTATCTAAAGGTGTTTACAGGTGTTTTACAGATGTTACAGGTGTTGCAGGTATCTATAGTTGTTTACAGGTGTTACAGGTATCTAAAGTTGTTTACAGATGTTACAGATATCTAAAGTTGTTTACAGATTTTACAGATATCTAAAGTTGTTTACAGATGTTACAGATGTTACAGTTGTTACAGATATCTAAAGTTGTTTACAGATGTTGCAGATATCTAAAGTTGTTTACAGATTTTACAGATATCTAAAGTTGTTTACAGATTTTACAGATATCTAAAGTTGTTTACAGATGTTACAGATGTTACAGTTGTTTCAGGTATCTAAAGTTGTTTACAGGTGTTAAAGATATCTAAAGTTGTTTACAGATGTTACAGATATCTAAAGTTGTTTACAGGTGTTACAGATATCTAAAGTTGTTTACAAGGTGTTACAGATATCTAAAGTTGTTTACAGGTGTTACAGCTATCTAAAGTTGTTTACAGGTGTTTCAGATATCTAAAAGTGTTTGCAGGTGTTACAGGTATCTAAAAGTTTTTACAGGTGTTACAGGTATCTAAAAGTGTTTACAGGTGTTGCAGGTATCTAAAAGTGTTTACAGGTGTTGCAGGTATCTAAAAGTTTTTACAGGTGTTACAGGTATCTAAAAGTGTTTACAGGTGTTAAAGATATCTAAAGATGTTTACAGGTGTTACAGATATCTAAAATTGTTTACAGGTGTTACAGGTATCTAAAGGTGTTTTCCCTCCTCTTCCAGTCAGTTGCGATGTGGTCAGGGGCCCCGACCAGAACGCCAGCCCAGCTACCTGCAAAGCACCTCTCACATCCGCCTCACCTCCATCAAGAAGACCACGCCCACTGCCATCATCATGGCCCCAGCAGCCAATGGCAACCCCAGCAGACAGGAAGTGGCTTTGTGAGCCTGATCCAGGTCTTACTGTGGACAGGGTCCAGACCAGTCCTGGTTCCATCGTGTTCATCTTCAACTCAACCAAAACAGGAAAAAGAAGAAAAAAAAGGCTGCAGACCTGAAGTTTACTGAAAATATTCTGCTGGAGTCAGCTCAACAGGAAGGATTTTACAAAACATAAGTTCTAGTTTTTTCATCATCATCATCTTTGTCATCAAAAAGATTTGTCTCTACAGTCGTTTTTCATGGTTTTGTTGCTAAATCACTTAATTTATTCTGCAGCCTGAAGATAAAACTGATCAGAATGTCAGGAGTTGGAACATCAGGGATCAGGGATCTGAAGTCAGGAAACATCCGGAGTCGGAACACCCAGAGTTGGAATGTTCAGAGTAGGAAAACATCTGGAATCAGAAAACATCTAGATTCAGAATGTCCGGAGTCAGAACGTCAGGATTTGGAAAAACTCAGTAGCTGGAAGATGTCAGGAGGCAGAAAACCTCTGATGTTGAAAAACATCTGGATTCGTCAGAATGTCAGGAGTCGGAACGTCAGGAGTTGGAACATCAAGAGGCAGAAAACATCTGGTGTTGGAACGTCAGGAGTCAAAATACATCTGGAGTCAGAAAACATCTGGATTCAGAATGTCTGGAGTCAGAAAATGTCAGGAGTTGGAAAACTTTAGTAGTCGGAAAACATCTGACGTTGGAAAACATTTGGATTTGTTGAAAAGTCAGGAAACGGGATGTCAGGAGTTGGAACATCTGGAGTCAGAAAATGTCAGGAGTTGGAATGTCACATGTTGGAAAACATCTAGACTCGGAAAACATCTGAAGTCAGAAAACATCTGGATTTATTGGAACGTAAGGAAACAGAACGTCAGAAGTTGGAACATTTAGGGTGAGAAAATGTCAGAAATCAGAACATCTGGAGTCGAAAACATCTGGATTCGTCGGATTGTCAGGACTCGATAGACAAAGAGTCAGAATGCCAGGAGTTGGAAAATGTCTGGAGTCGAAATATTTAGAGTCGAAACATCTGTAGTTGAAACATCTGGAATTGGAACATCTGGAGTTGGAACATCTGGAGTTGGAACATCTGGAGTTGGAACATTTGTAGTTGGAACACACAGAGATGGAACACATGGAGTTGGAACATGTGGAGTTGGAACACGCAGAGATGGAACGCCTGGAGTTGGAACACCTGGAGTTGGAGCATCTGGAGTTGGAACACGCAGAGATGGAACACATGGAGTTGGAACACCTGGAGTTGGAGCATCTGGAGTTGGAACACGCAGAGATGGAACATCTGGAGTTGGAACATCTGGAGTTGGAACATCTGGAGTTGGAACACATGGAGTTGGAACATCTGGAGTTGGAACATCTGGAGTTGGAACACGTGGGGATGGAACATGTGGGGATGGAACATGTGGAGTTGGAACATGTGGAGTTGGAACACGCAGAGATGGAACGCCTGGAGTTGGAACATCTGGAGTTGGAACACATGGAGTTGGAACATCTGGAGTTGGAACATCTGGAGTTGGAACATCTGGAGTTGGACCACGTGGGGATGGAACATGTGGGGATGGAACATGTGGAGATGGAACATCTGGAGATGGAACACGTGGGGATGGAACATGTGGAGATGGAACATCTGGAGATGGAACACGTGGGGATGGAACACGTGGG